TGATGATGAATAAATTGTCATTGCTAGATGAAAAAACATTTACAAAAAAAGTTTATCTGCAGGTATTTTCCAGGAATGCAGTGGTTGGTAGCCTCCTAAATGATCCAAGAAKAGCTTCTGTTCTCTCAAAGCTCACTGGGGAACTACTGTTCAACATCTACTGAAAATAAAAGTTCTGGCTGCGACACAAAGTGTCAAAACATTTAATGTTTCACTATACCATGACTCAAGTTGTTCCTTGGTAAACCTTCAATTCAAAATGTTATGTTGCASTAGACTTAAAAACCAGTAAATGTGTGCTCATACTTTGTCACTGTTTCTTGTTCTGTTTATCTTTTTTATATAAAAAAAAAGTTTACTGACTTTTTAAAATTATAATTGTTTAAAAGTTTTTGTTTATAAAAGTTGGACCTACAGGATTGGGAGATTTTGTCAACCGTGATTTGTTTCTGTTTTTTTTTTTTACCAGGTGAGCTGGCTGCGGAGTCAGTTCCCTTCATTAGACATTGAAGTAGACGGAGGGGTCGGCCCTGACACTATTCACAAGTGTGCTGAGGTAAAGAACATTATAATAACGACAGTACTTCTGTAAGCGATAAGCAGTGGTGGGCAGCGCTAATCCAAAAATTAGCTCCGCAATTTCTAAAGCGCTTATGAAAATATTTAGGTCCGCAACTTCAAAAGCACTTATGCCATAGAAATATTAGCGGAAGCTAGTTATAAGCGCAAGTTCAATTTGACACTTACTAGCTGGCAACAATTCATGTACAATATATGCACAACACTGCCAACTAGTGGTGTATGAACCCTTTAACAGCTTAATCCTACAACGATTGTTGGGGATGTGATTTCCTGAAACAGACATTTAGCTCCTGGTTTAAAAATTAAAAAGTTGTTGAGGATTGCTAGTTCGTCTGCTTCTATGTCTTTTTCTTTTGTTTGTTGTAGATTTTTCATTAAAGAAGCATCAATAAATTAATTTTAAAACCGTCTATTGGAAAACTGAAGCAATGCATTCTGTGTACATGACGGGTTGATTTGTGACGGGAAACGAAAGCACAGAGTATCTAGCTGCGAACTTCAAAATAAGAGCTTGGATTTTAAAGTTTTCTATGTAGTTGCTCCATTTGACCACTAGATGTCTGTCTTCATCAGCATGACATCTTTAAAGGGATCCCCGTTTAGTTGTAACATTAGACAATATGATAAATATATATTTTATCTGTAAAATAAAGACTGTAAAAATACTGTAGGATGTTCAGTTTTTAGAATTTTTAAACTAAAAGTTAAAAAATTTATTACACGGACGGGGCCATTTTATTTACACGCAAAGCATTCTGGGTAAATGATGACGTAGATAGGTCCTCGGTGCAAGGCTGCTAGCGAGCTATATCCACCCTGAAGGTTAATCTTGGACAATATCTGACGATCGACTCTTTTAAATGGAACCAGAGAGTGTTGACAGAGAGGAGAAGGTAGAAATGACTCAATCTGTAACTGAAAATATACTGTAGATAGAGGACAACAGAGCTACTTCATGGAAGAAGAACCTCAGCTTAGCCTGTTAGCCTTTGTGCTAGAGCCAAAGCTATATTGCTTTTAATGTATTAGCTCAGAGCTAGCGCGACAAACTAACAAGCTAAACTGAGGTCCTCCATCCATATTTTCAGTT